ACTCCTTCCTGTGACTCTTGGTGAAGGAAGATTTAATGGCCTCAACAAACAGGAGTTTCACTAAAAAGACAGAATTACAGATGTCTGAAAATTGTTACTATGTTTTCAGTTAAAACACAAAAACTTATTAGGGTCTTGGAGTTTCGGTTTAATAATAAATGTTGGGACATTTAAAGACAGGGTTTCCTGAAATATAAAACTTCCATGCACTTTCACTACACTACCGCATATTTTCACCCGAAAGTGTATGGTATCACTTTTTACTGACTTGTTTCATGAAGGGGTCTGTGTGTGTGGATCAATGTCATAACTTATTTTGTTTAGCTTAGTGATTTATAAGGTTTGGTAAAGGATCAAATTAAAATTTTTATGCCAATGTGCTTCAAATTCTCCGATTCTGTTTTCTCAAATGTGTCTGTTTTGTATCAGGACCAATTGAAACAATTCACTCAGGGATTACTGTAGTGTTTACTATGTACATTATTAAGAATTATAATTAATAAAAATGTCTTCTCATAGTCCTGGATATCATTATTTAATTAGATTAAACTCGAGTGTTACTTTTTAAGGATAGTTTTAGATACAACTGAATAGAATAGAAATGAATAGAATTGAAAAACTTTTATTTTTATTCCAACTGGTACCAGAAATTCTTCTTTGACAAGGGCTCCATCAAAAAGCATTCCCATATAGTTACACAGATCTCATAACAAATACAGATAAAAAAACATGTAACATACGTAAAACCCAAGGGTCAAATGACAAAATAAGTTGCTTGATTTTGAGCCACTAAAAGGGATTTGACAAAAACCTTGGTGCTTAAGAAAAAAACCTACAGTGGCCGACAAGCACAAACGCACAGCAATCAGTGTAAAACGAATATATGCAACAGAAAAGCAATGCTAACAAAAAGATGCCACAACAGAAAATAAAAGCAAAAACCTTCAATCAACAAAACATTATCATTAGCGTAATATTAGAATATAGTGCAAATCAAATGAATGTGTCAACAGTGCAGGAGTACATTATATTGTCTTCAACGAGCCAATAATGACTGAGGAAAGCTACTTCTGTTTTCATGCAATTAGAGAATAAATAAATAAATAAATGAATATATATATATATATATGTAACACATATAAAGAATTAAGAGGGTTTTGACAAAGAAACAAGAAGTCTGTTAAAAACCTTGGGAAAATCTTTGATTCTAGTTTCTAGTCTGAATTATTTCTAACTCTAAACTACCTGTCTACAGACAGTAGACTCAGACATATTATTACATAGTCACAACTCAAAGATGGGAAAAGGTACATGCCTGAAAAAAGGCATGAATGTTCACTGATCCTTCCTGGTACAGATGGTGAAGGCATTTTACACTTACATTAATGGTAGCTTATGTGCTATTTTAAACATCGTACTAAAATTAGCATGGTAACCCACCATGATGGTGTAAGCCAACGCAATAATAGCTAATATTAGATTTTCAGCTAATTTTGATTTTAAAAACTAAGCATAATAGACTGAATGGAATGGGTTAATATTAGTCAACATGCTGGTGATAGATAACATTTTAGCCAATATTAGCATTTTAGCTAAATCTACATAGATTCTTTTCACATTGCATGAAATATTTTATGCTAGGTCAATACACTAGTAATAGCTTACTAGCGTAAGCTAATACTAATGATAGCTTCCTATCATTAATATTTTATCTAGCTTTAGATATATACATAATTTTAACTGTTACATGGGGTTTTCATATTGACTGCAGTATGTTACATTAGGTCAACATGCTAGTGCTAGCCTATATGCTATCATTAGTGTTTAAGCTAGGTTTAGCTTTTTAGCTCATTTTATCTTATAAACTGCTGTAACTTTGCAGTTTAGTTTTGGAAACACTGTTGTGCACCAATTTCTAATATTCTTTGGATGGGATTTTTGCATTGAATGTTTTTACTCCTCTTCAACAGTTTTTCTTATAAGCGTTTTACAGGATTGTGCTAGCAGTTGACCTTTCGTGTTAATTATTGTGAAGCGCTGAGATTTTTCTCCCTTGAAAGGTTACACATAATAAAGACTCACATAGTATGTTTATTAAATAACATATACTAGATGAAATACATGTAAAATTAAGTTTCCTGGAACTTAGAAAGGACTATTCAAATGAGCACCAAGACTCCCTAGAACGACTCCTGCATACAAATCCAGGATACAGAGGTTCAGTAAATTTGGTGTTGAAGGTGTAGAGGTGAACAAGTGTCTCTGAGGACACCTTATAGAAAGATAGAGTTCCAACAGGACAGTCCACATACACAGCTACTCTGCCTGAGACAGAGGCAAGAGGGATAAATGCTTTTTTTTCACTATCGTGCCAAACAGTGTAACCATCATCTGAGCAGATCAGACCCCAGGAGTTATTATTAAATCCAAACCAGGCGTTGTCACTCTCTCCCTTTCTCATGATTCCCCTGTAACTCAGTGATACATAAACCTTCCCACTCCACTCCACCTCCCAGTAACAGCGACCAGTCACACCATCAGTACACAGCAGCTGACAGAGATCAAATCTGTCTGGATGATCAGGATACGGCTGCTCCTCTTTCACACGCGTCACCTTCTTGTTTTTGTTTGAAAGTTTGAGAAATTTGTTCACAGTGTTTTTGTCGACTGTTAGTGGACAGAAATCTGAAGGAAACAAAATGCAGTTACTGATGTATGATTTTTTTGAATTCACTGAAGCAAAGATGAGACAATCTGATATGAATCAAAAATGCACTTACACTTCCTGAGACCTGGTGTCATCCATTCATCTCCTGCAGGCACCATGCTGTAAGAAAGAAGACATTTTGATGGTATTAACACTTTCCAAGATGCAAACATGGACACCACAATTTAAACCTTAGTGAATTTTTTAAAGTTTTTCTTACACCTGTCACTGAGGCTCTGAAATCCTATTTAGAGTTTTCCAGACAGTGGAACACACAAAAACATGTACATGGTTTTTTTGTGTTTTTTTTAAGTGTTTATAACCATTAAAATATCTCCCCTTCAGTTCAATCTTTTAAGTTGAGATACATTGCCAATACTTCCAAGTAAGTATTGGCAAAGCTCAATGTAATTTTCACAGGTGGCGGAGTGTTGTTGTCAGTGGCTGCTGAATGTACCAAAAAATTACTTTTAATGTAACTTAGTTACTTTCCAAATCAAGTAATCAGTAATCTAAGTTGCTTTTCCAAGTAGTAGTCAGTAATCCAATTAAGTTACTTTTTCAAAGTAACTATTCCATCACTGTTAATGACCCATTTAGGGTCATTTAATCACTGATTCACTGGGTCATAGAGTCATTAATGCTGGGTTGAAATCCCAGCATTAATGACTCTAAACATACAGCAAGAATTAAAAAAAATTATTTATGAGTTCATGTCTATGAATTAGATTAGACTAGGCCTACACCCAATAGTTAGTCACACACCAGTTTTCAGATTCAGATTAAAAAAAAAAAAAAAAAAACATTAAGTATGTTTTGATGGACTGGTACATACATGTCAAGTCTTCCATTTTGGCCAGAAAAATACCGAATTTTACTCCTCTGTCCCAGGGTGCTCCCGTATTAGTATTTTCCCATAAATTTCCCGTGTTAGAGTATTAGAGCAATCAACCTGTTTAAAGCTGTTTAAATACTTTTGTACAGCTCTGTATGAACTGCTCAACATCCTTCTGCACTGGTATGGACAACTAATTATCTCTCCAACATAGATTGATTTCCATTGCTGCACCACAAGTCCTCACCAACATAAACTAACATTCATTGCCTGAGGCTGGTTGAGGCATTTGGGTTTATCCTTCACTCCAGGTTGACTCATCCAGACCAGTTATGTTTCTCCCATCAGTAATCCTCCTTGCTTTCTCTCTCCAGTACTCGCTATCTGCTGAAGATCCTGGACAACACATTCTGGTTTGCTGCCACACCTGTGCCAATTCTTTATCCAGTATTAAGCAACATAGTAGCATTCATTGTGTGACTGTGGACAATGGTTACTTACCAGAGAGACTCCAGTTTGAAGCTTGGATTCTTCAGTATCGCTGCTAGACTCTCCTTTCCTGAATCTCCTGGATTATTGAAGCTGAGGTCCAGCTCCTTCAGGTGAGATGGGTTGTTAGTCAGAGCTGAGGCCAGAGCAGCACAGCCTTCCTCTGTGATTAGGCAACCTGAAAGCCTGCAGACACAAACACACAAATGGAGGAAGTCTTGTAGCCAGCGGCGTCAGTGAAGGTCCCCACCGCGAGGCTCAGGAGGAGCTTTTTAGTCTAGATATAAAGGAACTCAGTGTTTCGGCTGTTTCCAATTTTCCAACAAGTTTGTTCTAGATTTGTGGTGCATAGAAGCTGAACGTTGCTTCTCCTCATTTGGTTCTGGTTCTGGGGATGTAGAGCAGAACCAGAACCAGAAGACCTAAGAGGTCTGGAAGGTTGAAACAACCCCAGTAAATTTTAATGTATTGTACTTTGAAGCCATTTAGAGATATATAAACTAATAACAGTATTTTACAGTGTATTCTCTGAGCTGAGCTAGTGTCCTTACACTAGTTCCATGCACTGGGCAATAGAACTGGGCAATGTGCTCTAAGGTTGCATTCAAGCCTGAAGTGACCCAATTCTGATTTTTTTGATGTAATGCAACCTGTAACCGATCTTTTCATGACAGTCTGAACAGCACAGGTCAGACTTTTTTCGAATGCGACCCAGGCCACTTATGTATAACCTGAGCTAAGACAGCATATGGACATTTAAATAACAGGGATCCTAGGAACCTTGGAGTACCCCACATGTCACTTCTGTCTGCTTCTATGAAAAGTTTCCTATTGAAACAAAGAAATCCCTGTTCTATATGTAAGATTTTAACCAGTTGAGTGCTGGACCGGAGAGTCTGACCCAACTCTCCAGTCGTTTTAGTAATATGTTATGGTCAATAGTATCAAATTTGAGTAGGTCAGCCTCATTACAGTAGTGAGCACAAAAACCAGACTGAAAGACATGAAAGTGGTTAGTTATCATTGGGAACCATGATGGTTCATTGGGAACTGTTGTCTTGTTTCAATGGTTGTTTCCAGTAACCATGGCAACAATTCTCCACCAACATGTAGCCTAGCATGTGCGGAAAAAAACTTTTTTTTTTTTAAACTGTTTTTAATGCTACTCCGGTTTAAGGGGAACACTGTTTATGACATAGTGATATAAATCACGTGGTGTGAATTCAGATAAAGTTGGTAATTTGATCAACACAAGAGGCAGGATCGGTTTCTAAGCTAGCTGTTTCAAACTTTTGTAAATCCCGCCATCTATGAGCCCCACCCAGGTGTGTCATGTTCCCAGACAAATTAGCTTGACTCTAACAAGAAGCCATGAATAAACTGACAAAAACAACTTAGGAAAACAACTTCAGTTGCTCAGTTCAATACTCCCGATCCACATTTCCGACATCCAATGATGATTAATTGAGTGACGTGGCTGCAAAGTGTCAATATTTGGGTATCCCCTTTGTCATTAATGCTGTTTCAACATGGTCGATGTAATATATTTTCTGGAAGTAATCTGGTTAACGGCTCAAGGCTCCGTGCTGACGTCTAAGCATCAAATAAACACAAATCAGTCTGATTAAAATAACAATACTAAACATCTAATAATTTCCAGATCAATCAGTGAAGGTAGTTATGCCTATACCACATTATTCACTATCCACTTTATACGTAACTGCTAATGTCACAGTTTTTAGTCCACCCGATCTGTGTGTGACTGGCAACCTGTCCAGGGTGACCCCGCCTCACGCCCGTAACGTTAGCTGGAGATAGGGCACCAGCAACCCTCCCAACCCCAGTAAGGGACAAGGGTGTACAGAAGATGGATGGATGGATGATCTGTGTGTGTGTGTGTGTGTGTGTGTGTGTGT